CCCCCAAGTTTCTGATCCGTATAGAAGAACTGACTGACTTTACGTTTGTATTGAAAATCCGAATTTTGTTGTTGATGCTGAGTGACGAAGATTTCCAGATTGATTTCAGGCTGATGAATGTGTTTCTCGCCTTCCCGATTCTCGATTTGACATCCTCGTCCACTCCTCCTGTAGTTGAGACAATGCTCCCTAGAAGTGAGTGAATGAAGTAACCTCTTTCAAATCCCTCCCGTTGATGGTGATTGTCGTTGGATGTTGCTGCTGTTGTTGTTGGTTGGTTATTTTCATAACTTCCGTCTTGTCTATGTTTACCTGGAGTCCTGTCTTTCCTGCTTCTTCGACCAGTTTGTCGGTTTTCGCTTGTAAGTCTTCGATTGTGTGTGACATCAAACATAAATCACCCACGCGTGAAATCCAGGTCTTCTAGGTTCTTCACGTCGGTCCAGGATACTCCTGTCTTCTCGTTTCCCACACTGTCTGACGCATAATCCAGTCAGTCCACCACAATTAGGAATATCATTGGTGATAGTAAGCACCGTTGTCTGACTCCTGTGTTTACTCCAAACGCCTTGCTGAGTCTTCCGTTGTGGATCACTTGGCAGGTGCCGTTGTCGTACAGCTGTTGAATAAGGTTGATGAATATTTGGGGTACGCCATAGTACTCGAGTAATTTCCAAATTACTTCACGATCAACGCTGTCAAAGGCCTTCTCGAAGTCTATAAAGTTGAGGTAGAGGTTTGATTGCCATTCCATGCTTTGTTCGATGATGATGCGTAGAGTTTCAATTTGGTCAGAACATGATTTGCCTCTTTCCTGAATCCAGCTTGTTCTGGTCGGAGTTCTGTCTCCAGTGCGTCCTTTAATCTCTCCAGAATGATGTGACTCAGGATTTTACTTGGCGTCGATAGGAGCATGATTCCCCGCCAGTTCTTGCAGAGTCCTAAGTCGCCCTTCTTTGGTAGTTTCACGAGGTAACCTTTCCTCCAGTCAGTAGGCACCTTTCCCTCCTTCCAGACCTTTTGCAATAATGGAGTCAACATGTCTGCTGTAGTCTCTGGGTCTGCTTTCAGTGCTTCAGGGGGTATTCCATCTGGTCCGGCTGTTTTCACAGCTTTCAGAAGTTTGATTGCGTTCAAGACTTCAGCTCTTGTTGGAGGATTGGTGTCAACTTGCAGTTGTGTGCGCGCTGTTGTTGGTATTTCTGGACGGGTTGCAGGTGATGGTCGGTTCAAGAGTCTTTTGAAGTGATCCGCCCATTGTTTAATCTGTTTTTCTTCCTTGGTAATGGGCTTCCCTTGGCTGTCTTTTATAGGTTTCGCTTGTGTTGGTCTCTTCCCGGATAGAGATTTGGTTATCTGATATAGTGTCCTCAGTTCCTTTTTGCCTGCTGCCTTCTCAGCTTCAGTGGCGAGGTTGTCGTAGAATCGTCTTTTGTCCTTCCTAGCACTTTTCTTCACTTCTTTGTCCAATGCTTTGTAAGTTGAACTCATCGTCTCCTTCTCCTGTCCGTCCTTGCATTGAATCATTTTCTCTTTCACCATTCTCCCCTCTTCTATTAATTTCCAAGTGTCCGTTGAGAGCCATTCCTTGTCTTGTCTCTTCTTTCTTCCTAGAACCGTTGAACACGTTTCGTTGAGAATCACCTTCAGAGACTTCCAATGTTCTTCCACGCATGATTCTTCAGTGATGTCGCGTAGTGTTTCCTGCTTTGCTCTGACAGTTGCAGCACGCATAAACATTAGAAATATAAATGAATTTGTATTTTGACATATGTTTCGGGCGACACCTCACTGTGATGCAATCAATGTAGTCATTCGAGAATTTGAAACAAACTTTGTTAGAAATGAACCATTTTGAGTGAATAAAAGCTGCAACACCTCCGCCACATTTTTTCTTGAAACAAACACGGTCTTGTCGGAATACATTAAAATTATTTAGAGACACTATATTGTCATCATATGAGTCATGGAGCCAGGTTTCTTGTAGAGTGACAATACCAGTATTGTGCCAGATTCCTGACGACAACAGGGACTGAAAATCCAGAATTTTGTTAGGGAGGGACCGGCAGTTGGTACTAATGATAACTGGAACAGCGGTGTGATGTATAGGTGTAGATTTTAAGGCACGCTGCCAACCTCCATGGGGCATTTTCTTGAGTTTATTGCAAATATGAAAGTTTTTGGGTTTAAAACGTTTGATAAAATCACGGGAGTGGATAATAAGATTAGAATGCATAATGTGATATGTAAGCACCAATAAAATACGAGTAAATAGATGCAAAATGTACATGGAGTGTGGTAGCCCAAAATGTTCAAACAGGCCACCAAGGTCATTCGATGGATTACAGAGGTCCTTACACCTGTAAGAGACTCATTATCAAATCATTCTGTAAAAAGTTCATTTGATCTTACAGAAATGCTAGACACCTTGAACATTGAGGAAAAGGTTATGTGTTCAATTGACATAGATTCTTTATTCACCAATGTTCCCCCTCACGAAACTGTTGATTTCATTTATGATTACATCACAAACAATGGGATAAACCTACCTATTCCTGTAGCTTACATCAAAGATATCATCTTAACGTGCGCAGAAAATATTACATTCACCTTCCAAGAAAAGGTATACAAAGAAATAGATGGTGTTGCTATGGGAAGCCCTCTTGGGCCCCTGTTAGCAGATATTTTCATGTCGAAATTAGAGAGACAAATGCAAGGTATGCTTGGAGAATTTATGCTGTATAAACGTTATGTAGATGATACTCTCATTATTGGTAATAACAGTAAATCTATTGGAAACATTATAACCTTATTTAATCATATTCATACAAATATCCGAATGACTTCCGAACCAGAATCGAATAACGAACTCGGTTTCCTGGATATTACTATGACTAGGAGAGATGATGGTACGATTCAGCGATCTATTTTTCGTAAACAGACATGGAGTGGACAATATCTTCATTTTACCAGTTTTGTTCCTATCCAGTATAAACGTTCCCTAGTGAAACATTTGTTCTCCAGGGCCCGAAAAATATGCACGAGTGACACATTGATGGATGAGCTTCGACATATACATTCAGTTTTATTAGCTAATGGTTATCCGGAGAACTTTATCACTTGTCACAGCAAAGAAAAACCACATCTCGAAAAGACAGCTTCTGTACCAAAGAAAGCCATCTTTATTAATCTACCATTCAAGGGCGACCAGATTATGCAGTTGACAGCTCAAAGACTTCGGTCAGCCATCAAACGCACATTCTACGCCGCATCTCTTTCTCTCACTTGCCGAACATTTTCGATCCCTGTTCCTACGATTAAAGGACGAAATTCTGTGGACTCTACTTCTAACTGTATCTACGAGTTCATCTGAAGCTGCGGTGACACCTATATAGGCAGAACTAACAGAATCTCCCAACGTCGTCGAAAAGAACATGTTCCAAAATGGCTACAAAATCATATCGAAAACCCCAATGCGATTAATCTTAATACAAAATCCAGCATCATCCATTGCAAAACACTTATTAATTTCAGGTCACAAAATCATTATTAATGACTGTTTCACAATTATTTCACATAACTTTAATTCAATGTTATTGAAGGTGATGGAAGTACTTTGGACTAATCACATACAGCCTAAACTGGTGTGCCTAAACTGCATGTACGAAAAACAGTAGACTTCAGTATTCGCCTAAAATGGACTACATGACCTATTTAAATATGATTGGTCATTAGGATGTACTTTTGTTTTTTATTTAACTGAGCAGTTGTTATGATCTTTATTTTATTATCGTTAATCATGTTGGTTGTAAAGCGGTTATAAAGAAACTAGGGAATATCACCTCGCGAAATTTGTCTCCAAATGCCATATTCAAATGTATCAAAGGGACGAATCGTTTTAATTTTCTCAAACATAAAATGCCTTCAACTGCCGAGGCTTTTAAAATGAGAGTTCATAATACCCGACCCTGTGTACAGAAGAAAACGGTGACCATTCTGAATCTTTACTTACTGACTATTATTGTTATATTTTAATCACATTATTATTTTTGTTCAATGCGAGACTATGTTTTTGCCAGTACTATTATCTCAACACATCTTGCTACGAACATTATTGTTTTTCAATTTGCATGTCTTAACATTTTAAAGTTCTTTCTCTGATGAATAACCAACTGTATTAGTGGTGCAGCCGATTAAAATCTTAATCCTAATCTCGTTTGTCGCTTCACCTTATCTTTCTAAACTTGATACTTTAGGAGGTGCAGGTTGTATACAGGCTCATAAGTTGGGAAGATGGAGGATGACGATTTTGAAAGATAGGGTGCGTGTAAACGCTAGTCTTCACCCCCAACTCTTACAGTACTCGTTCTGCTTACACCTAACACCGATCTGAGCACCGAATTGATCATCCGAAATACGGGATATATTTCGAAACGAAATCGTGGTACGATGTTGACTGCTCAAGGATCGGGTGCGAACGATAGAACGTAACACGTCAGTAAGGTAAACGTTATCGATTCTTGACCGCAGACTATCAGAATGTTTAGTCGGTCTAAATGGTGAAGATCAGCATCTAACGTCAGGTAAATAATTCTGAAGTCTTCTCTGTAAAGTATCCACACGCGACTTTTCGTCTGAATTATTTTCTGTAGTTTCAGTCAGACACATGTCAGTAAATTTATGATAATACGCACACAAATAAATGTTCCGAATGACTGTGAAATGTCAGTTTTATTTTTTAACACTTGCTAAATTTCCGACGTTTTCGTACATGGCCAGTTCACTAATTTGGTAGGCTAAATCCACTGACTCATCACATTTTCCTGTGCCTTCATAATATAATAATATATTCTCACTTTGTGTATTGCTGGTTAACAAACCGATTGACTAAAATTATCCTAGGGAAAGTTAACAGTACCTTACAATCGCTAGTGTTTGAAAGTGCTGCAGCCGAGATTCCGAATATCATGTCAAGCTGACCAATGATAGAAATACCGGCGGTTTGTTGCACCGGCGGGGAATTGAAATATACACTAGCTGTCCTTGGGTAAGATTTGGTTTGGTTTAGAACGAGGTTCATTAACTTTGCTCAAACTAGAGCATGACAATAAACAATGGCAGCGACCGAATGAACTTGAACAAGCCATCCAAACAAAGGAATGTAAAACTCTTGCGTTTTGGGCCATGTTAAAACTCTAGTGCGTATAGGCACCAATGGAGTTTGATTGCACTAGCGATCTAGGAACTCTCAGTGAGCAAGTTAGTGAAATCTGGTAGATAATATAGTAATTATGAATGAAACGTGCTTAATTGTAGTGTTAATAAGTAGAACATCTGGTTAGGTTTCGGATAGATTAGCTTAGGGTTAGGTTTTTCCTGATCAGAAAGTTATTGGGATTGGTTCAAGTCAGACTAGTGTTAGTTTCAGGATATATACACGTTAGGGTTACGCTAGGGATTGATAAAATTCATCGCTAGGGTTTTTAAGATCGAGGTGTGGTCAAATTATGCTGGTGACACTGCAGTACAAAACTAAGGCATTTTTATCACATACCAAAGAAATGTCTCTTGTGTAAGAGTTCCATGACTTTTAATTCATTATCTTCGTAAATATATGTAATTTATACGTTAAAGTCGCTGTCTTATGGTTGGTTCGTTCGGAGCCATTCGTCTGTTGGTACCTGCTTCAAGTTTAACGTAGCCATGTTAACCACCATATACTCCTCTCTTTCAGGACTTGTCAAGTTACTTAAGCGTGCTATTTTTAAGCACTGCCAGAGATACTTCAGTATATAATAGATTCATTTATATTAGATAAAACACTCATTTACCACAAAACGGTATTATCAACCACTGGTCAAGAATTAGTTTAGAATTATTGTGAGCTTGGGAAACCCGAATTGTAACGCTCAAACAAACTGTAGCTTATATTTAACTCCTAGCCCTAATCTAATTGTTAACCTCAGGCCATACATTAGAATTAGGTAAATCAGATCGACATAATGCCGTTGAGGCGAAACACTGATTTCAATACTAGACACCTGGTTGCTCAAGATCATTTGGTGATTGCTACAATCTATCTTTACCCATAGCATTAAATAATGCATTTTAATATTGCTTGTAAGTAGATCATGTAGTCATTGTTATTTAATTACATTCAGTCACCATCGCTGTTTACGATTTCGCCTTCCATATAAGCGCTTGTTGTTCTCTTAGTCTTAAAGTTTGTTTACTTATCACCATTAGGATTATTTTAGACTTATACCACTTATCCACTAGATATAAAGGTTTGAGAGCTCCCAAACTTCCAGAATTTCTCCAAAGCAAAGTCTTGGTTTGTCCCCTTTATTTTACTGGTTTCTGATATTTGATTTCGTGTGGTTGTTATTCTAACAAGCGGTTCAACAGAAAGTTTACTGTACCTAAATTGCTTTTCTAAATAAAACCGTTTGGGAATATGCTGTATGATGTTCCGAAAACCAATTTCATTCTTTGTCGGGTAGTGTGCCAGTGGAAATCCCTACTGGAGAAATCAGGTTCTCCATTTTACGTTAATTGTATTAGCAGAAAGGGTGACAGTGATGTATTCTGCATTAAACTGGGTAAAAAATTGTTAATACTATTTCAGTGCTTTAGAATATCTGGTCATTACCAGTAGTCTTCGCGTAGCAACTGCATTTGCTCATCACTAACTTATTCGTTTTAATCATGGGTCTCTACTTTGTTGTTACTAACTGTCCTGCGAAATAGATTTCACATTGTCATTTTAAAAGAAGTTAGATGGAACCGACATGTGTGAAGACGTCAGAGCATCGTTTGGATGATTGGTTAATTATTTTGAAGGAACATCATATTTTAAAATCTCTTGGACCAGAAAGAAAAGCGTTTGAAGAGAGTGTGGACCTTCCTGCCATCCCTGAGATGATATTTGACCAAAATTCACTCTCAATTTATTTCTGTCACTCGGAAGATATACAAACTAAAGTATGTAGAATTGATTTTAATGCACTCGATGCTCTTAAATTGGTGGATCCAAAGAACATAACAGTTGAGGTAAGTTAATATTACTATTATAATCAAGTCTGCACGCCTTGCTCAAAGGTACCTTTCGCAAAGGATTGGCGAGAATCCCGATCTACTAACAATGAAGAGCTAGTAGCACATAAACCATATGACTGGACATTCACCACTCCTTATACAGGAACATTGTCTGGTAAGTTCCGCAATTGTGTAATGTTTATTGTGATGCATACTGTTTGTAGATAAATTACGGTATTAATTTGTAGGAAGTATTCGAATTGTTTATCTGTAAAGTATCCAGGTGTATGCAATCCTAAAATTTTTCGTGACCTCTTTGACCTTCACTTTCTTCCAATCAGGTTCCATTTCTGCTAGCCTGACACTCTCAGGTAAGTGGCAAATATGAATACTTAGCATTCTTCAAAGACCTTGACCAGTGACCTGTCAGTTTCACTTATCCATTACATGACCTTATTAGTTCTACCAAACTTATAATGCTATTAAGGCACCGCTGGCCGGATGCCTAAATATTGCATAGGTCTCTCACTTCTGTGGTCGTCTCGTAGTTGTACAGTAAGATTATTCCACTTACGTCATCCTAGGCAACTGGGTAGTATCATCAGCCCTCACACTAACTGTTCGGCTATAATATGGTATATACTAGAACCAAGTTAGCTGTTATGCAGTACCGTGCTTAGGCAAGTGTTTAATCTGAATGCAAATTTGACATCTTTATTTATAAGACGGGTACCAAAGAGTTCACCACTGTTTCCTGCACTCATTCAACAATACTCACATAAGTACACGAACTAATACTCGAAGACTTCATAGTCACTCAAGATAGTCTCGAACTTCAGTCACTTATGATTTAATGCAACACGGTGTACCATTGGTTTGATTTATGTGATCACTGACTGAGACAATGGCTATTGTTATATTCGCTAGTCGGAAAAGTATCATGTGAACACAATTGTAGGAGATGATCACTTTCGCCAGTTCTTCGTTATGGTACTTCATTTGCTTCTCTAACTTGCTAAGTATCCTGTCTCCGGTTTCATGGTGTCGTTATATAAGTCAGAATGTACAGATTTTGGGGTTTACCTTTTTTGATCGCTTTCCTCAGAGTAGGGAAGCAGCATACGTGATGGGTTGTTGAGGAAGTATCATACTGTGGTTACACCGTTTGACGGCAGTATACCTCTTTCCCCGGACCCTTACCACTGAGTGAATAGTCTGAACTATGATGAAGACTGCTCTTAGTTTTAACCGTTTAGTGGACCCTCAGAAATAATTGTCATCTGGTACTACTCTTTTGTCCGCTGTGATATGCAGGTCCAACCACTATGTTAGAAGGTAACTGTTAGTCATGTCCTGATAAAACCTCTTAGGTAAGTGAATAGCACCACCAAGTGGAAAATCAGCACACTAATAAAATTCTCGGAATATGTTTTGAAAACTGGATTGAAGCCCTTCTGTCTGTCCTTCGAATGTACTTGCTGCTGCAGTTGCACGTAAATTTATAAATTCATTTGGAGGTAACATCAGCCAATCGAAACTGGATAAGTACCCTGCTGATGTTACCTCCAACTGCGGCAGCAATTACATTGGAAACACTAATAAAATTGTTATTTTATGGCTAAATAGTACTACAATACGTATTGTCTTGTTAGATATCCAAAGAAGTTCTGAAGTTTGTTTCGTACAGTTCTTCAAAATCATCGGGAAGAAGCTCAACACTAGAATGCATGTAGTTGCGCTGCTGTCTGTTGTGACGTATCTCTATTTCGAGTAGTTTCTGTTGAGAATATCTTCTCGTGTTTCGTTTAACTTTATGGGGGCATGCTCACTCAGTTCTCTTCTTTCTTACATGAGTTCACTCACTTAAAGTGAACAAATGACGTGATTGTACAGCATCTAACCGTCGATAAGATGTGCTCTTGTGCAAACTGAGCAACAATTTTTGGAATTTCTGAACATTTGTCAAATGCTGACTATCAACTTAGTAAGTCTGTATCAATTATTATTATTCCCTTGCGCTCCGAGTGGAACATAGGGCTTATACAACACATCTCCACTTCGTTCCGTTTTCTGCTGTCCTCTTCAGCTGGGTCAACGATTGAATAAACTCTCTCATCTCCTCGCCACACGATCTCCTCCATATCACCCTCACAACAACGACCCACTCGTCACTTCCCATTTGGATTCCACTCGCGTGATGGCCTGGCGAGATGTCATTAGGCGGCCTCGTCAATGCGTGTCCGATCCATCTCCACTTTCTCCTACATATTTGTTGAGCGATCGGCTCTCGGTTGGTTTGTTCCCTTAGTTTCTTGTTGCTTATCCTTTCTGGCCATTTGACCTCCAGTATGGAGCGAAGGCAGCTGTTGATTAGAGTCTGCAACTTGCTGTTGGAAGTCCTTTTCGTGACATGCAGTACAAGTTTTTGACTCGTATAGAAGAACTGACGGACTTGACATTGGTGTTGAAAATTCGAATCTTGTTCCTTATGCTGAGTGCGGAAGATTTTCAAACTGGTTTCAGGTTGATGAAGACGTGCGTATCTTGCCTTTCCGATTCCGACTGACTGGCTGGCTGGCTTTGACATCTTCATCCGTTCCGACTGCCTGTAGTTGAGACGATGCTTTCTGGCTGGATAAGTGAAGGAGGTAACCTCTGTCAAATCTCTCCCGTTGGTGGTGATTGATATTGGTCTGTATCGATATGTAACAGTATTGCTAATACTGTCTGTTGCTCACGTAAGGTTTATTTATACTGGAACAAATAAATGTTATCTTTAAGATTGGCGTAAAGCAGCCAAAAATGGTGTTGTTTTTAATTTGGCGGATGGCGTTTAGTAGTGGAACCCAGGACACTCATTTCATCCTATTTGTAACTCGTCTGCATGTATCAACACTCCCATCCAGATGACGTCCCAAATAAAATGAAGTGCTCATCCTAGGTTCCATTACTAGTCACCATCCACTAAATTACTTCGAGTTAATCTTCAGACATCGTTGAAGCGTCCGTAGTAGGAGCCGGTATATCATCAGAGGCCAAACCTTTCGTTCCACCCAAAATTGAATTAAAAACAGATAGTATTGTTTTTATTGATACCAGATTTCAGATGACAACCATTAAATCGTTTTAATTTAGCACTATCTTAGTATAAATAATTTGGTACTAAAACTTTTATCCTCATTATGAGTGAGTTGTTCATTTTACATTTTTCCCTCACGATCTAGGACCTTGGAATGTGTCTCGTACAACTGAAGGTTTAGATATGGAGTACTTACGTCGGAAAGATCCCATTAAATTTTTTGTCAATACAACATTGTATGAAGATGAATTAGGTGATAATGGAATGTCTATGTTAAATGTAAAATTTCGCGCAATGTCCACCGGCTTCTTCTTGTTACAGCGTTTCTTTTTGCGTGTTGATGGTGGGCTCTTACGAGTGTATGACACACGAATACAATGGCGTCAAAGTGATAGGTAATTCCAACTTTAATTGCTTACACCATTTTTATTAATCCAAAATGCATTTAAAGGGTGTGCAGAAAGTTAAATAAATTGGCATTCGCTAAGAATGCCATTCAGGACCTAGGTCAATCGAGTCGGGTATGCAGAGGGTTACTCACTTGTCATATTTGGCATATTGGCCACACACAATCGTGCCAGTCTGAACCATTAGGAAAATATGGGTTGTCCTACTTCAGCCCCAACGACTGCATGACCCGACAACTGTGGAGTCGTTTTCGCATGGGAGTACAAATATGTAATGCATTGCAAAACACGTGTCCACTGGATATGTGGATCGTTGGCTTAAGAGGCCAGTTTGCAGACAACGGGTTATAGGTCCCGTTCCAACTACTTCAGTTTGGCCAACTGCATTATATAATTAGCACTCACACAATAGGTCCACCTCTAAACCTGGTACATGAAACATCTTACGCGTGTAATTGAGTTCAAATAGTATCAAAAGGCTCAGCTTATAGTGGCCTATCCGACTGATATCGGTTTGTGAAACAGTGAGTTTCTTCACAACACCACGTAAATGTGACAAACTTATTTTGGAGTTACTGCTTCTCAATTCATATGGTAAATTTCTACGAATTTGTATAATCTTCGGTGCACTGGTCAAAAACTTCGATTTCCTGAGCATAAAGAGACAGAAATAACCAACAAAAACTGCTGATTTCTAAAGGTACAGGTGAATATATGTCTACCTGGATCTCCCATACGTCATCTATCTCTCCTTTGCAGAATTTGATTGATTAATCTGGAATATAATTATGAGATTAATTGTGAAATATTCCTATGTTATAAATTAGAAGTCATTCTGGACGAAGAATTTTCTCTTCAATGAATTGTCTTCATGGTTCCTACAAATGCAAAGTACAATTTTTATCGGTACGATAATAGCCAGTTATGCAGTGGATGGGTGACAAGTGAAGCAGAACAAGCTGCAGGCAAAGGAAACCTCGCCACACTCAACCAAACAACTAGGTACCTTTCGGGCAAAAGTCCGACACAAATTAAGCCAGTGAAGGATGCCAATTGAAAGTTAATCACCAAAGAAGTGGAGCAGAGTATATACTGGGCTGGACACTTCAAAAGACTACTAAATCGACCACCACCTACAACGCGTTCAACAATACCAACAACGGAAGCAGAATTACCAGTGAACATAAACCCTCCGACTGGAACAGAATTCCTGAATGCAATCAAGATGCTAAAATCTGAAAAAGCAGCAGGACCTGGTGGAATACCGGAAGAAGAAGCATTGAAAATGGATCCAGAGACAACAGCGGAGTTGATGACGCCACTACTGGAGAAGGTGTGGAAACGGGGCAAGGTACCTAAGGCTTCGAAGAAAGGATACTTATTCAAACTGCCAAAGAAAGGAGTCAATGCAAAAACTGGCACGGAATTATGCTCCTGTCAATCACAAGCAAAATACTAAGCCACATCATCCTGGAGAGAATCAAACAAGCCCTAGATGAAAAACTTTGACCGGAACAGGCTGGAGTCAGGAGAAACAAGTCATGTATTGATCAAATCGCCACTCTACGGATCATCATTGAGTTAGAAACAAGCTTTGTCGGTTAAAGGATCCTGTAGAGCCATTAAAACAAAACAACTTAGTTTATCTAATACCCTGCAATGATTGTGAGGTCAAATACATAGGTCAAACTAGTAGAACAGGGGCAGTTAGACTAGCCGAACATAAAAACCTAGCTAAATCTAGACTGGTTGACCTGAATAAGATAAGAAATCTAGAGAGTAGTTCAGCTATAGCACTACATGCAGTGACACACAACCATACAATAGGATGGGATAGGATGACAGTTTTAAAATCTAATGTCACACGGCATAGGGAGAGATTGATAACAGAAGCTTTGCTTATCGAATCAACTGCAAATACATGTAATAGTAATGATTCAACACCTGTCCCAGATATATGGAAAATTCTACTGCCCATACGACAAATAGGAGAAGACAGAGAAAACTATAAAAATCAAATCTCGAAGTCGTGTGACAAAAATTGATCTGATTATGAACAATAAATTGTGTTCGAAACGTCATCCACTGTACAATACTGTTTCACTGTGTGATACATTTAATAATCAAACTAATATGGAATTACTTACTACCACAGTGCCTAAGTTTTACACATATATTATCATTGAACAAAGCTCAGAATGACAGTCAGCTCTCTATCTCAACTTCATCGACTTTGCAAAGGCCTTCGACAGCGTCGATCGAGAAGCGATTTGGCAGCCACTTCGCTAATACGGGGTGCCGCCGACAATTATACATCTCATCCAACAGTTGTACGACAATGCTGCATGCCAAGTAATCCACAACGGGAAACTCACGGAATCCTTCGAAGTGCGGACGGGAGTGAGGCAAGCTGGCTGCCTACTATCGCCAATGATTTTCCTGATTGCAGTAGATTGGATAATACGACAGACGGACAGACAGACAGCGGGCAAAAAGGAGACAAGCATAACATGGACCCTCACAAAAAACTTGGAGGATCTTGACCTCACCGATGATATGTGTCTGATTTCCTACAAACTGGAAGATATGCAAGTGAAAAGCAACAAGTTGGCAGAAGAAGCATCCAGAGGAGATCGGACTTCAGGTGAACATAGATAAAACAGAGGTGATGAAGATTCTTGGCCAACAGCAACAGCAACAACATCGACACCAATCAGCATAAATGGGAGGAACCTGAAAGAAACAACCTCCTATAACTACCCATCGACCTGGGAAGCATCGTTTCAACTACAGGCGGGCGGAACTGACGAGGATATCAAAGCAAGAATTGGAAAAGCAAGACAAGCTTTCATTACTCTCATGTCTGTGTGAAGGACAGCAGCACTCAGCATCAAAAATAAGATCCGAATTTTCAACTCCGATGTGAAGTCAGTGCTACTTACTATACGGATCAGAGACTTGCACTGCGCGTCATAAAGAGCATCTCAAACAAATTACAGACTTTCATTAACAGTTGTCTTCGCTGAATACTCAAGATCAGATGGCCGGTCAGAAAAGATCAGCAGTAGTGAGGGATCTCTGGGAGCGAACCAACCCAGTTGGAAGCGATTATGAAACAAATAGGCAGGAAGAAATGTAGATGGATTAGTCATACTCTGAGGAAACCAACAAGTGACATCACCAGACAAGCCATCGAGTGGAACCCAAAAGGGAAGCGGTGAGTTGGTCATCAGTGTGAGGGTGACATGGAGGAGGTCGTGTGAAAGGGAGATGAAAGCATGTGGGCAGACTTGAAGCCAGGTGAAAACTAGCAGAGAACCGAACGCAATGGAGACGTGGGGCTGAAGCCCTATGTTCCTCTAGGAAGTAAAGGCAATAATAATAACAATCCAATGGATTCATCTACGTAGAAGAACAGATTAGTTATAAAGTGACGAGATAAATAGTATTTGTGTAACAAACGTGCTGGGCTCAATGCAGTTAAAAATATTATGAAACGCAATACGATGATTAGTTATAATAGAATTCATACAATGCAGAGAAGTAAAATTGACTACCGCAACACTATGAACTATTCACTGCCGTCTAGTACTCACCAGACATCGGATACTTTTTACAGCCTTGATCTAGTAAATTTTACTTCATTGCATTGTTTGAATCTATTATAACTAATCATCATCGTCTCGCATTTCACAATATTTTCTAATTACATTCATTCCAGCACGTTGTCACAAAAATACTTTTTTTTATTTTGTCACCCTATAACTAGTCTGTTATTCTGCGTAAAGATGTATCCACCGCATAAACGGCTTTTATAGTCCCAAACCCCGGTGAGTGCGCGTACTGGTGAAGAGTCCGAAAGCAGCACGAAGCGGCTGTCCTGTGCTCCCAGGTTTTCCAGTGTTTTTCTAACTGATGTCAACTCGTAAGCAAATTTGTAACCGATCGAATTCCTTCGAAGCAACACTTAAATATTATATTCTACAACTGTAAGGACCTAAAGAGAATTCACTGAAAAGCATATTCTTCGTTCAGACTGACATTCGATTCATGATGTGAAATATAATTAATCAACTAATTGGATGATTTCTGTGTTTCACTTAAAATTAGTTATCGAGGTGTTTCCAGATTAAGCATTCTATGAAGAAAGGAACTAGAGACTGAATTTTTGTTTAATAATTTTCTAAGTGTAATTTTAAAGTTCAAATTTACCTGATTGCCAATGGTTTTATAATGTTAGGTTCGTGACAACTACCTTCATATTAGTTGATTTTTCCCCGCTTTTTTTTAAAGCAAGAGAGTTGAATTCCATCAATGGGGATAATCAATCTCTAATTCTTAATAAAATGAGTATATAGATGTCAATGATGATTCATCTTTTTCCGACTTAGAACTTTGCACCAATATGCGGTAGTTCAAGTCGCCACACTCCATGTACCACACAAAGCAAGAGAAGAAAGTAGAAGAAATGCATAATAGAGACAGTAAACAGAGGTGTGAGACAAAGGAATAGTAATAACGAAGAACAATATGGTTTATATATGTCCAAACCAAGTTCACTTTTAACGGTTTGAAAACATTTGGGCATTGAGTATATGATATTCATTATAATAACGGTTTTTGTATTTCCCAATGAATGAAAAACAAAACCAACACTTAAAAACGATATTGTTATATTATAATGAACAATATAGTTTCATTGGAAGTCACAAGGAGTGGATACATCTGCGCCATTGAGAACGATTTTGAGCCATATCACCAATTGTTTCCAACCACTGGGCCTTACAGGCCCGAGGACCCTAACCAGGAAGTCTACACTTTCCTACGTGGCCGGCTTAAACTTACTGTTGTGGATTTCATTGACTGGTGCCATGTTTTGGTTTGACCACCGCTAGCTCTTTTCCAGGCTGACCAGTCCTATGTCAGCTGACATTGCCCGTCGAGGAAGGCGATGACTGACTAGTCATGCTGATTGAAAGAGGTGGACGGTTGTTGGTATGAGACTAGAAATGTGTTGCTCTGTTTTATTTTTTTATCCAAACTGTAAAGTGACTTCACCACTAAATAAAGATAATGGGATATCACTGTTGAGAAGCAACAAACAAGTAGAATAATGCAATACGTGTAATGTATAGAATGTAAAATATGGCGACTAATTGTCTGTTTATTTGTCTTTAATTCTCCGAATACACTACTATTGAATGACAAAAATGCTGTTTATAGGAAACGCTCATGTTAAGAGGTAATATTTCATTCTTTTGTCTTTGTCTATAGTTACTTACTTCGGGATGTACGTCGAGTAGAAAGTTCGTCGTGGAAATCAGAAATGAATGGAGTTAGTTTAGAATTAGCGGATCAATTATGTGACACAGTAATTGAACACTATACAGAAAAACTTGTACCACTAAGTGTAAATACATTTTAGAGAAAAAAATACTTATACTTATTTTGTATGACTATTGTAATAGAAAAAAAATAATAAATTTATGTAAATAACGAAACAGTGAAGTACTTTTTTGATTCTTTCTTCAGTTTTTAGTCTGAATTACGTGAGAAGTCTTAGACGAAATGTGGACCTGTTGTGCATAAACATCATTATTATTTTATTTAAACAATTTGGGTGCAGTATAAGTACCAAGAGATTCGCAACTTGTGAAATCTGGGATATTTCTTAGACTCTGAAACCAAAGCAAGTACTGGTCTTAAGCGACCACCTCTAACCTTTGACTTAGTTTGATGCATAGGGCAACATAGCAGTATCAGGGATTGTGTCCCCACAGATGCCGGTGACCTAAAGAAGTTTATACACCGTTCTTTTTGGATTCTTGAGCCAGTAAACACCATACTTTTGGAATCAACGTTTCCTAACTCCTCGTGGTGTACGTCCATGTCCATCAACCTGATGGTAAGCGCCGAAAATTCTTATTCACCATTGCACATTTGTGGGAACACCACCGCGGTGAGAAGGCAGAAGCTATGAACAGGTGCCTAAATGACGGTACTTTTTACGAGGAAGACCAATTTTACTCGCCCTTGGCCGTACCAAGTCATTTATTCAGAGGGGGGGGGGCATCTGGACAGAGAATTAATGAAGGCACTAAAGTACTGATTCAGATCTGTCACATCCGCACTACATCCATAACATTTGGATAACAGTATTACTAACTCTAATCCATATATAAATACGATCACACGCACCTTTGTAAAGGGAATTTTCGCAATGAAAATTAGTAAGTCTTGGGTGGAGTTGCGTAATACAACCACTTCTACCATCATGGTAACAACTTTGCTGATTTTTGATGACTTAATCTTACTTGTTTCTTTCATTGCTTATAATTCTCGTATTCATTTAGAGCCCTTATGTAATTTCGTATTCTCTACTTTGTTCGTATGTGTATCCTGAGTAGAACTCAATCATCAAACTATTCATATTACTACGTAACTCCTTTTGGACAACTGTTTGCGATAGCTCATCACCTTTGTTACTACCCTAGTTACATTAACAACCAATTTCCTTGACCGTTTTTGTATCACGTAACTCCACGCAAAACTTAATAGTTCTCACCTGTTTAGTTAAAATAACCATAAGCAATTAATATTCCCTTCTCTAAAATCTTTTTCTTGATGTATTAGTACTTATATTAAGAAATGCGAGAATTATATACTTCAGCTGAGAATTCACTTATGTTAAACAGTGTGGCACTTTCATTATTTGATAATACACAATCACTAGGTGTAAAATCTGTGATACAGGTTATTTTAGGCGAATACGTGGATCAGTCGGCTAGTGGTGGGGGCCTGCATATACGACTAATGGCTTTTAATACTTGCATCGCAGGCATCTAAGTTTCACTTCTAATTTTTTGGACTGACTACAATTTACTTTTCATACTTAAAAATATTCACATTTCCCATCACGAAATTTAGGACAAGGCATATGATCGAACAATACTGCTTTACATAGTAGTTTTTGCCGACACTTTACTCAGTTACGCATAAGTCAAAAGTCTGAACCAATTGTGGTTGTTGTCAGTAAGGAGACAGGAAGAATGCAGGTGGTTCAACTAATCTTGTGAACAACATCCGGTGAGGTAATCCTAACGATATTTGTGTTAACATAACATAACAATTTCGCTTTTATTCCAGAAACAGTACTTGTGGTACAGTGTGGAATTTTCAGCACATATCTACAATATTGCATCTAATTTCATCGGACATTTAAAAGGAGTATTACAAAAAATATAAATATAAAAAAACAACAAAAAAACCAAAAAAGAAACACAGAAATAACAAAAAAAATGCAAATAAAAATACCAAGTAGAAAGGAAGATAAACACCTATAATGAAAAAATATTTCAGTATTGGGTAGTGGAAGCTATGATATGTGTATGCGTGGTGAACAGTAACAGCTATATTCATACAAGAAGTTATGAAATGTTCTTAAGAATGTTTATAGCCAAGATGATCAGTTAATTTGATTGAACTACACTAAACAATCATAAAATAAACATTTCAGGGTTTTTTTATTTTTATTGTCAGCACTAATGCAGTGTTTGTTGTGGTAGTGTGAGTAATCATGCATAATATAAAGTTTTTTAAGATGGTGATAGTGGCGTTCACAAACAAGATTGTCAGTTTAATATTGCCGAACAAAAAAAAACAATCACAAAACTAATATTACATGATGGTTAATGACAGGACAGTTTTGTAATACTCATAGTGATGATATATTCGGACCCAGTAGATACACAAAACAGGGAATAGACTAAAGAATAAAAAAGTAAGCCAATGATAATAATATTAAGTAGCTAAGTATGTTTAAGAAGGTTGTTCACTATAGAGTACAAATAAGAGAGTATAAGGGGGAAATAACAAAGGCCAAAATTATGTTATTAACAACAAAGCAAGTCATAGGTTTCACGCTTAACATTGTCTCTGTCACTTAGAACACGGGCCAAATATGGTATAGTTGAGTTCCTATAATTGGTTGTGCGAGCATATATTATTTTGTACTGATTTCTGGTTCTACCTGATGAGATGCAAGGAGAGAGTTGGGAATAGAGGGGGTGTTGGGGGTCAGAGAGTATGGTTTTAGTCCATTTCTCGCATGTTCGTTCTCTTTGGCATGCGATTCGCTCCCACCAAATGCAAGATGATGTTACAGGACTGGACTACATTGACGCCTAGTTTAAAAATAGGAAGTGAAGTGGTAGAGCACGTTAACCGCTTCACTTATTTGGGAAGTACCATCAGCCCCAACGGGCTGATATCTGACGAAATCTCAGCACGAATACAGGGGGCTCGTTTCGCATTTGCCAGTCTACGCCGACTCTGGCGTAGACAAGATGTTCGACGGGTGGGTGTACTGCTCATCAGTCCGCTCCGTCCTCCTTTATGGTTGTGAGACGTGGCCACTGAGAGTGGAAGACATGAAAAGACTAGCTGTCTTTGATCATAGGTGCCTGCGCTCTATTTGTATTTTATTTATTTTATTTTGATTACAGCTTGATTCCCGTGTAAAGTGACATAATAAGGTGAGCAACATTGAGGTTAGGCGTCGAGTTCTAGGTAAACAGGGGAAATCAATCTACGAAGTCGTGAAGTTACAAAGACTGAGATGGTTAGGACATGTGTTACGTATGCCAAGCCATTGCCTCCCTCGACGAGCAATGTTAGCGGATATAGGGTCAGGCTGGAAAAAAGCTAGCGGCGGTCAAACAAAAACTTGGCTTCATCAGTCAATGAAATCCACAACAGTTGGTCTAAGCCACGTAGGAAGGTGTAGACTTCCAGGCTGGGGTCCTCGGGACGGTAAAACTCTATGGTTGGAAACAATTGGTGACATGGCTCAAAATCGTTCTCAGTGGCCAGCGCAGATGCATCCACTCCTTGTGACTTATGATCTCCAATGAAACTGTTTTGTTTTTCTTTATTACTCCTTTGTCTCACACCTCTGTTTACTGTTTCTATTATGCTTTTCTTGTACATTCTTCTCTTGCTTCGCGTGCCACACGGAGTGTGGCGACTTGAACTTCCGCACATTTGTGCAATGTTCTATGTCGAAAACAGACAGACATTTCTCGCATGTATTCAGATGCTTATCCACTAATGTAGTGACGAGCTGACTGAGTTTTACACCACTAGTCCTAGTAACTGCCTTCAACATCCTTCTCAGGATGGTACAGTCTTTTTCAGTAACCCAGGAAAGACTAACGGGGAGCAGTAAAGTAGAATAGGTAGGATACGAGAGTTGACAAATTGTGAAAGCAGAGGTTGAGGGACTCCTGTTAGTCTGAGTTTCTTAATGTAGTAGGTTAGAAAAAACACTTTCTTGGAAATCATTTGGATATGAGATGACCAAGTAAGGTCGGAAGATAGAACTAATCCGAGGTATTTTGCATTAGACTTAGTTTCAATTTTAGTCTCCTCAATTCTACAGGCATCATGAGTGCTTACTAGTGTTTGTAGATCTCATTTATGTCTAAAGGAGAAGTCGATAGTCTGGCATTTTGAGGGATTCAGCATGAGGCCATTTAGTTTAGACCACTGACTTATGTCAGACAGGAAGCTATTTAATTTGAAGCAGTCTGATTGAGACTTAACGGGAAGCGAAACAGTCAGGTCATCTGCATATTTGACGAAGTTGATTTCGTCTGAGAGAGGTAAGTCATGTAAGAAGAAGGAAAAGAGAAACAGCGAGAGAACAGCACCCTGAGGAACACCAGCTTCAGTAAGCAAAGGAGAGGAAGCTACACCATCATATACCGTGTACTGCATCCTATTGGAGAAGTAAGGGTGCAGCCAGTTGATAGCCAGGGACTCAGTTTTTGTAAGGCTAAGCTTGTTTGACAAAAGGCCTCTAGGCACAGAGTCGAAAGTAGATGCGTAATCAAGGAAAGTACAACGGACATACTTGGCCCCTTTGTCTAAGGAGGATACAATGTTGTAATGAAACAGAGCAGCAGCGTCTAAAGTACTTCTACCCTGTTTGTAAGCAAACTGCTTTGGATCATTTGAGAAGCTTAGGGAGGGAACGAGTTTTTGTAACAGTAATTTCTCCATCAGTTTCAAAAAAGGAGAGGTAATGGCAATTGGTCTAAACTTAACACTATCTCCAGAACCAGACTTGGGTACAGGGATGATTTTAATATCTTTCCACAGAGAAGGTACAACATAATTGGAAAAAGAAGTATTGAAAATGTTTGTAAGTGGGTTACTTAAAATATCAGCACATTTCTTTAGAACAATGGCAGGTATACCATCAGGGCCTAGACTCTGGGAAGGTTTAAGAGATTTTAAACATTTAAGGATATCAGAAGTATTGAAACTACGAAAGTCACTGGTCGTGTTATTAGTTAAATTGAAGGCAGAAGGGACATTTGGAGGGCGGATAAAAGATCTATTGAGAGTATTTACATCAATAGAAGAGGCAAAATTATTATGCTTACCACAACCTGTAATTTCTCTAGAAAGCTTCCATATGTTTTCTGAAGTTTTACA